CAAAATCCTGATGAATATCATAGATAGAAAAACGCGATCCTTCAATTTCTTCAAAAATTCACTCGCATGAAAAAATTAAACGGCTTGATGGATCAGGTTGAAATTTTGTAGGGCTTTCGGGGGAACAATGGCCTGTAAGATGCACACTCAACATTATTCATTTTCCCAATATTTTGAATGCGGCACGTGATTTTCTAAAAAACCTCAAAAAGAAAAAGACCTGTTTTCCGAAATTTTTCAAAGTGATGCCAGGGATAAAAAAAATGTTTCTCGTGAAAGAACATACCAGAACCTTGTAGAGAATGAATCGAAGTTTACGAAACCCCCCTTCCATTTTCTGAGCGGCCATTGGTTCCTGAGATATTGACGAGAGAAGAGGAAATGACGCATTTTCGTTCATTTTCTGATAACTCAGCAAGGAAGGGTCACCTTGAGGCCACCAAAAAAAGGAATTGAAGCTAACTGAACCACCTATCCAACGCATATAGTGGTTATGTCGAGAATATTTTCCGTACACTCAAAATTAAAAAAAAAATTATAATTTTCTATCCATGATATTCAACAGGATTTTGTGCTAATTGTTAGTTGGAAAAGTTTCAAATTGCTTTTTTTTTTTATTCACGTTCGACCATTTTTACCAAAGATACAGCCACTCGAAAAATCGCAAAAATCGAGATTTTTTTTTTATCCTTTAATTTTTTCCACTAGTGTATAAAAAAATGTTTCGAGTTAGTAATATATGGAAAATGTATATATTTAGTTTATCCTCTAAATATTTACAAAGGTGCTACAATAGGTTGTACAAAATAACCGGAAAAAGCATGTAATAACTAGATAGGAAAAGTTATATGTTGGACACATCAGATTTTTTAATAATGAAGTAGTAACATCAGCCAATCTGGAAAATGCAAAGTTTTATCTACGCCACTAAATACTTGTTATCATACAAAAGATCCAGATGAAATGTAAAATATCTAAACATATCAGCAACTGAAAATTATTGTATATTTCGTTAAATACTCGCTCATATATTTCAGCTACAATATCATTCATAAGTCGAAAAGTTTCCAGTCCAAGTGATACAGGCTAGAATGAGTTAAAAAGAGTTATTTAAGTGTCTTAAATGAATTGCCGAACTGAGCAAAACCGTCGAATATAAAAATTTGTTTAGACTTACTGATGCAGATTTGGGAGAAAATAGATTAGATAGAAAATCAAATTAGGGTTTTATCTTTAAATTAATCATCAAACCATTGTTGCCATATCAACAGCACAAGCGGAATACATAGTCTTGGTTGAAGCGTCACGAGAAGCACTTTGGTAAAGATCACAAGATTTCAAAAAAAAAAAAAAAAAATGGAATGCTCCAACAGAAGTTCACAACGATAATTAAAGTTGTCTTCAAATCATTCAAAATGAAAAACATAGTAATAGAACTAAACATATACCTAAAATTTCATTTTCTGAACGACTGGAAGAAAATATGGAAGCAGATTTGTTAACTAAACCACTTCAAGTTGTGAGGTTTAATAAGCTGAGGAAGATGACTGGAATAATTTAATAAATTTATCATCATGGAGTGTTGGAATATAACAATGATGATACTAGTTTTTTATCACGTTGTACAGTAGTCGCTGATGCTTTTGTCATATAGTTTCTGAACTGTCAATTTCTTAAATATAATTTAATTATTCGTTTTTGCCTAATTGTGTTTCTACAAGATAACCATTTTTACGGTAAACATACAAAGAATCAATATTTAATTATCTGTCGGGCAAAATTACTTGTCCCCTCAAAGCCTTTCCGATTTAATCAATTCCCATCTCATCAAATACTTCAAAATGAACGTCTCGCGGAAACAAACCCCGATAGCGATTTTCTTTCGTCGATTCGGTCTCATGAATGAAATATTTCACATAAAACAAACGCAGAAAGAAAGGTATGGGAAAGAATCTCTCGAGCAAAAAAAAGTCCGGAGCGTCACGTTCGAGGTCAAAGTTGAGAGTGTCTAGTGGGATATTCTCGAGGCTCTCGAGCAAAGGAACAAAGCGAAGAGTACTTGTGGGGGCGATTTTAGCGTGTGAGGTATAAGTTTCGATGGTCGTGTGGTGCTGGCGTGTGTGTTTAATGTTTTGGCTGGAGAACACAACGAAAATTTATTAAACCGGACGAACGTTGTTAATTTCGCATTCGACGATGATTATGTATAATGTTCGAGTATTTCTTTCTCAGAGTTTGATAATTAACTTCGGACGTAAAATATTGAGATAACTGGTATTTCGACTGCTGGAATAATAGTAATAAATTTTAATGGTCTACTACTATTTTTAAAATAATTAGAATACCTGCAATTATTGTTTGATATGAGAGAATGCTCATAAATAGTAGTATGACTTATGAAAGGAAGGCAAAATATCATATATTTTTCAATATAATCTCGTTCTAAATTGTCACATTTTTCATATCCTTGGACTTTCATTTCTTCATTTTTTGAAAAACGACGTCATCGATCAATGAAGGTCAAATCCAGACTATAAGGGTGGTCGATTTGTCTTGAGAGAAAAATAAAGTTTCTTAATCTTATAATTACATCTACAACTAGTGCAAATAAAAGATTATTTGGAAGATCACTATTACTCATATTTATTATTACCTAACATACTCCTGGCATATAATTTTCTATTATTATTGTCACTATCTATATAACTTTGATGATTTTTATTCATATGATCAGCTGCTTTATATTTCTATAATAGACAACATTTTAAATACGCTATACTCTCTTATTTTCTAAATAGTACGCAACTAAATCGTTCTATTCTTATTTTATTCCAACAGTCGTTAGAATTAAAATACATTATAAAGGTCAAGTTTTGTTGTTCCTGTATTTATGCAGAATTACAGGCCTATCAGTACGTTATCGATTATATCAAAACTTTTTGAAAAACTTTTGACCACTCCTTTGTCTTAGTATTGCAGTATATCCGAGAATATATCATTATTAATTGATAGGATGGTTTTACTACATGTTTAAATTTCATAATATATGTTTAAATTTCATAATATATTCTTAAATTTAACATAGCATCTTTTAAACCGCCCCTGTGTTCAAGCCTCCTGCGATCAAACCAACGCATTCAAGAAATGCATATCTTCTATGCTGCGAATAGCAACATGTCGCTCTAATACAGTACAAACAAAATATATTTTCTGCAAACATGATAAATGTAACGTACGTCATACATAAGCCACGAATCCAAAGCATTCCAGTACATACTCTATCTCTTGCATAGCAGAATCTCTCTCTTTCTCTGTCTCACTCAAAAGAATTAAAAAAGAGTATCTAACAAAACTGACACTTGATGATGTAATTCTCGACAGTTGGACAAATTCATTCTGCAAATCGAGGGGAGTACAGGACCCTTCATACAAAAGACCCAACAAGTTGCCAGCTTCGTTTTCCACCGTATAGTTGAAAGTAAAGATATTCTTTCTCTTTCGGCAAAACAAAGGGAATCGTATAAAAACACGTTTAACGGCAACCTAGGGACGGACCTTACGAAAAATGCTTGAACAACTGTTATCCGTCTCTTATAAAAAATTTAAATACTGTAGAATGTATTAGAAAAGGAAAATAGGAACAAAATAACGTGAACCAACAGATACGTGGTTACATCAGAACTATCATCTTCACTTGACGTGTCATTTAGGTTTATAATGCAAGAATGAGCCGGAAATATTCGATGGTTATTTTCAATTTTGGTAAAACGGAGAACGCAATTGGAGCATAATTCTTAAGATATGCCTCCAACAACTTCTCTGATAACATTTAAAACGGTTTTAGACAACGCAGGATTATTTTTTTATCTCTCTTTTGATATTACTCCAAATTAATTCTATGACATTTAATGTACCATATTACAGTGGTAAATGTATTACGGTATAAACGAATGACGTAGTCATCTAATCCAAAACACAACTAGGTTTGAGATTTAAGCCTTTCAATATTGCAAGAAAATATTTTTTTTAAACTGAAGGTGGATATGATACATCCATTTTATCCAAAAACGCGGAAACTACTTCTTTTCGAAATTTTCTCTTTTGGAATTTCACTAGTTTGACGAAAGCGGTAAGGGGCATTATCCATTACTTTAACAGCATTTGGTGGCAAATTAGGAATTAATTGTTCACCAAACCATTTTTCGAACAAGGTAGACGTCATAATATTGGTGATAATCTGCTGAACAACTAAAAATATCCTTTGCTGATAAAAGCAAGCAATTCGACACAAAACCGTTTTCATTACCGGAATGTAATATTATAATACGTTTTTCTCTATTTGGAGGAGCATTCGCAGAACATTTAGCAGATTGACCACTCCATCCTTTTTTCACAATATCTTTTGTGTCGTATCAAGTCTCATCAAGAAACACTATGAATCTATCTTGCCGAGCTTCATCTACTCTAGTGAGGTATTCATTACGTAAAATCATAATTCTTTAAGATCCTTCTATTTAAGGTAGGATATCTAATACTCAAAGAATGGTGCACTTTTCTAGTGGTTTTGTCAGATTTGTAAGGGAAATCGGAAACCATTGGAAGGGGTCAGAAGCAAAAGTGCCTTAAGTGACATTTTCGGTGAAAATTACCTAAGTACAGATTGGAATTCTCAACGTTCGGTTTTGTTTGGTGCAAAAATTACCCAAGTAAAAATTGCAAGGTAGCGCCATCTTTTAGTGAGTTGAAAAAGTTATATAAATAGACTGCATATTTTATTTAGTGGCAAAACCGCTTAAGCAGCACTTAGGTTATTTTGCTTCCGAACGTGTTGCAAATAGCAAGAATGAAAATAATTCACTTGTAATCTGTTTTGATTTGCAACAAACATTGCCAACTCCACTTTTGACTACAAATAAAAGCTTACTATTTAAGGCAATTATGGACTTACAATTTTTGCATTTTTGATCTTTGTTCTGGAGTATCCCACATGTACATCTGGTATGAAAGCCAAGCCTCAAGAGAGAGAATCTCAAGAAATCGGGTCGTGTTTGTTTCACGTAAGTTGCTAGTACTAATTTTATTTTAAACTTTCTTATTGCTTTCCAATTTTGTTTTAGTTTATAAAGAACTTGCCAGAACATATCACCAAAATTGTGGCGTACAGTGACGCATGCGGCAGTCAAAATAAAAATAAGAATATTTCAAAATTGTTTATGCACATAGTGCATACAACACATATTGAACGTATTGACCATACATTTTGTGAATCCGGACATTCTTACATGGAATGCGATAGAAGTTTCGCTCTAATTAAAAAAGTAAAAAAAATAACCCTCAGGAATTTTTACTGGATCATTGGTGCGATCTAATTAAAAATTGCTCAAAAAAATTTAAGGTACATAAAATGGATGATTTTCTGTCTTTTAAAAGCTTGAATGAGTTTGTCAAAGACCCCAAGAAAGACACCGAAAATCAGGTAATTAAGTGGAGACAGACAAAGTGGTTTTCATACAGAAAAAATACAACATACCAGTTTTTCTTTAAATCTACCCTTCAAGAGGAGTTTCCTTTTTTTACATCAGAAAAGTGTACCAAACATGTTGGGCGTCCTTCTCGTAATATTACATTGGAACCACGCAACAAGCAGTTTTGTAAAATAAAGTACCAAAAGTGGGAAAATTTGCAACAACTCTTGGATTTTATTCCTCCTATCTTTCATGAATTTTATACAGGATTGCCACATGAAGAGAAAGTTGGCCGAAATAAAAAAATCCAAATCGCTCCCTCTCCCTCTGCTTCTACTTCCCTGGCAACGCCTGAAAAACAAGAAGATGATGGTTTAGTATCCGACTATGATTAAAATATAAGCGTTCCTTAGTTCGTGTTTGTTTTTTGTAAGAAATAAAGGTTTATATCCAAAGTGTTCATATTTTTTCCAGTTATCTGTCAATAAACTCCTTAATCTGTCTGGTATCAAAACGACCTAAGTGACTTTTTTTGGCAAAAAAAGATAAAAAATAATCTTTGTTTTGTTGCATAGTTTAATTCTTTAAATTATTTTAATTCCATCCAATATGGTAAACAATAAATTGGAAATACTAAGAATTTTCAATCCGCCTCAAACTTTGGAGGCCGTTTTCTCAGATTAAACATCCCTACTCGTCACTCAAATTTCGAACTTCGAACCATCAACATGCCTCTGGAGTCGTTCTCGTCAATCACTCTTGTTTAGACCTTCAAAAAACTCACTTCGTAGCATAGAATAAAAGAAAAATGTAATTACAATTATAGTATACCAGCTAGCCTGGCCAGCAGTATAATCCAAAACTACTAGTGCAAAGTTCATTTAAAGGTAGTGTAAATATGTATATGATTATGCAATCGTTTTGTCTTCAAATAAGTGAATAAACCAATGTACCATTCAGCAGCCTTTGATTTCATGGACATGGACAAAAGGTTCTTTTCAACAGGCATGATATAAATAAACAGGAGATTTAATCTTCAAAGGTTTAGACTACAGTTACCAACAAAATATTCTATATAAGTTTTATGAAAATATAATTTTAGAAAAGCTTTTCACCTCGTTAATTTAAATTTAACAAGCTTGGCCTCTTTGATGCTTTTTGTCTGGGCATGAATATTTAAATGGTTCAATATAACGTACCCACAATAATTCCACAAGGTTCCCATTTGGGACCCCTATTGTTCTTACTATATCAATGATATTGAAAATATTTTTCAATATAACAATTTTCTACTTTTTCTGACCTAAAGATATATGACCATTAATAGTGTCAATGATTGTTATCTTTCACAAACTGATATTAATGTACTGCATGATTGGTCTGTAAAGAACTGTAATGAAAACCGTTAATTAGTAATAATTAACGTTTAATTACCTTTGTAAATCAATTATATGTAATTTTGACTAAATATTTTTCAGGATATAAATAACACTTTTAATTTTAAAAAGCTAGTTTAGAATTATAAATGAGCTTCATCAAAAGGACAAAATTAACTGATTAATTCAGAATTATATATATACTTACATACAGTAAAAAGAGAATTGTTGCAACCATTAAAAATAAGATTAAACAAGAATATAAATAAATTTTATATAAATAAAAATTTCCTTGGTGTATTCGGTCATTAATTTTATTTTATATCTTTATCACAGCACTACATATGTTTCGGAAACCTTTGTTTCCATCATCGGGTGCAGTCAAAATTTTAAAAACAATAAAAAACACATGGGGACGATTACAAACAGTTTAAAATTTTAAAATACCAGGAACCCCATCTTTTTGTTTCCGCGTGTGAAGTTGTATTCGAAATAATAATGATTTGGTTTAACACGATAACCATAAAGTAGGAAAACAAAAAGATGAGTTTTACAAAATTTAAAAAAATTACCAGTGGCCTAACAGTTAAGGACTAGAAAGCTTACAATTATTTAATAATATTAAAATAAACGTTTGACATTGGAGAGCCCATAGCCACACCGAAAACTTGAGAGAAAAACTAATTTTCGTATTTAAAAAATATTGTTTCTAGTATTTTCATCAAATTTTAAACTGTTTGTAATCGTCCCCATGTGTTTTTTTATTGTTTTTAAAATTTTGACTGCACCTGATGATGGAAACAAAGGTTTCCGAAACATATGTAGAGCTGTGATAACGATATAAAATAAAATTAATGACAAAATACACCAAGGAAATTTTTATTTATATAAAATTCTGCTACATTCAGGAAATTATCCTTATATAAATAAATTTGTTTATTGTTAAATTGTAGAAATGCAGATTGACTTTTAGAAAAAGAAATATACCAAATAAAATTTACATGGACATTGAAATTCACATCAAAATAATAATTAATGACATATGCTTTTAAAAACACTAATAATTATCAGATATAGATTTTATTCTCTGATTTGGACCATCGTACGATAATTTTATGATTTGACGTCGGCGATTTAACTAGCGATAATTAAATTAAAATTAAACCTGAGTTCAGTCCGTGGTAGCAGGTCGTTGATGTTCTACCATTTGACTCAACGAGTGGTGTGGGAATCGGGACTTTGACGCTCCCCAATTCGACTCAACGAGCCGATCTCCTATAAATATTAGAGTGAGGAAGATCCTTTAAAAGGTGACTTCAAAAATGTTACAGAACTTAATATCAACAAGTGTTACACAATTACGTTTAGATTGTATTTGATTACTCAATGGAGGATTCAATTCTTAAACGTGTTAATGAGACAAAAGATTTAGCGCTGCTCTTAGATCAACATCTATCATTTGTTCCTCATACTACTCATGCAGTAAATAAAGCTTTCAAAACTCTAGGTTTTGTCTTAAGGAATTCGAACAACCTCTTACTCAATTCCATTAAAACAGTTTATTCAACACATGTTAGGTTAATATTGGAATATGTATCTCCATATTATGATATACATAGGTCATTATAATCTGTTCAACACAAATTTCTGAGATATTGTGCATTCGATTAAGTTCAGTATTTGGCAATTATGAATAATTATGTTTTATTAAAGTTAATGGATCTTGAATGTCTAGAATTTCGAAGGGCTATAGTAGATTTATTATTTTTCCCTAAAATAATTTCAGGATCTATTCATTAGAATCCATATAATATAAAGTACCAGCATGATATACTCGTCAAAATGATTTATACTTTATTTCATTTCACAGAACTAAGTATGGCTATTTAGTCCTCCAATAAGAATGCAAAGAAGTGCAAATTAAATATGGATATTCTAGGTACGTCTTTCAATAGATTTAGAAAAACTGCAAGCTACAGACTCCCTTGATATTTTGAATATTTTCATCCATTCCTAATGATTTTTATTGATATTTGATATTACACATTCAAAAAACAAAAAATTAAGTACCTATTATTTAATACTTGTCATTATTTGACTGGCTTAAATGTTTTTTCTTTTTAAAATGAAAGTTGCAAATTAATGTGGGTCAGGTTTTCCGGGTTTTTCTCACCTATAAGTCAAATTACACCATCAATAATCTTTAAGTCGCCCCGGAGCGCCACGGCAAATAATAATAATAGCCGAGCTGTCCCCACACAAGCTCAGTAGGCTTCAGGGGTTGAAATTCATATGTGAGGGGGAGAATTAAGGAAAGTATTATTATTATAATGTATTATCTCCTAAATTATTTTTTTATATTTTTGCTGTAATGGGGATTTCCCGTATGTTGTTTAATAAATCAAGTTTAAACGAGCCTCATAATTTTTGTCTATGTGTACTTACAACTACTGCTTAATCACTAGGCAATTTCTTGGGGGTTCTCTTAAAGATAAATGTTTTTTTGCGAGGCAACGAGAATTTTCGTAAAAGTTACAACAGCGAATGTCACAAAAATATAATTCAATTGTTTTGAATAAAATTGAATTGCGCCTATTTTCTGATGTAGAATCCAGTCGGATAGAGAAAAGCTTGTTTGCATTTTTGTTAGATGTTACTATGGCAATGTGTCAAATCGTTAAATTACAGTGGTACGAATAGGTAAAAAACAGTAGGTACGTCATGTGATCTTCTCTATCCGAGCAGACTCTAATTCACTGCCCTGCGCAATATTAACTAAGGAGGAAATGGCAAGAAGTCATTTTATTTTATTAACCTACTTCCTAGTAAAGCTTTTAAAATAGTATAGCGATGTTGAGATATGATCACTCTTTATGTATCCGGCTAAGAGGTTCGCTAATGGTCCAATATTTAAAATATCTTCTCGGCTTCTTGTATTATTTGTCGACATACTTTTCGTTGATCTTTTTACTGGAAATAATATTCGATATTCAAATTTCCTTCTGTCTGATTTATTACGTCTTTGGAAAATAAATCACGATAAGCCCATGTCGAGTTTCGAATGCGAAAAAGACGACATCGCAAAATCTATATCAATAAATTTTGATAAGGGAAAATGAAATGTAAGCATAAGCTGAAAATAAATTAAGGTTTTTGTATGAATTCCTGAATCTTCTTTGGGATAAACGAATAGATATTTTTTTCTAAAGATTTTCAGGATTTTTATTTAACGGATTCGTATCTGGAACAGTGTTGTGTCAATGGTCTCCACGGTTTTTATACTCTTTTTATTAGGAAATGAATTCGATTGGAAAATAAGTGAATTATTAAATCGCACTTTTTAACCTCCCGATAATTTTGTGTATAAGTTTCTCTCAAACCAAATCCGTTGTTAGTGGGGTACCTCAAAGGTTAATCTTTGGTCCCCTACTTTTTTGTAACATATACTGCTGATACATATAAAAATATCTGTCATGGTCTAGTTTAAAAACATTTTTTGTGAATTACTTTTTATACATATGATGAAAATAAAAATTATTATTATACATTGATAAAGGCTGAGGACACAAGTCCTATGATAGCCTAAAAACAAAATAGAAAAATTCTAACAAAGTAAACACACTGAAACAAAAAGATAAGAACACTAAAAATTAAATAAAAATGTTAATTAAACACTCATATAACTTATTTTTAAAGACGTTAACTGTTATGGCACCAACAACTTCGTCGCTGAGGTCGTTCCATACATTAAATACCCGGTTGGAAACGAATGATTGTCTGTGCTTCGTTTTTAGGTTTTCCTTAATTTTAGTTCATGACCACGTAGACGAGAGTCAGTATTTAACAAAAAAATGGCACTAAGATTTCCGTAAATATATTTAAGTATTCTAAAAGTGAGAATCAGGTCCCCTCGTAGTCGACGATTCGCAAAAGTTGGTAAATTTGACAAGGTTCTGGTCTCGCACAAGAAGCGGACACCAAACTACACCTGCATATTCTAATAAAGGTCGAACATAAGT